CCGAGCCGACAAAGATAATTTTCAAGGATTTGAAATCAGGTCAAAGTGATCTTGAATCACCCTCCCTGGACTGCTGGTTCTTCAGGCTGAACTTTTTCTGAGAGAAAAATAAGTGGGAACTGAGTCCTCACATGGAGAGGGGAGTGGGGAAGAGAAAATTCTACTCTTACTAGAAAGAATAGAAATTGATGTATAATAGATGCTGGCCAGCCTAGGCCGGGTGTCCATCCTGGCCTCTGAGTGGGCCTTCCACCTCCCTTTCCTCTCTCCACCCTTCTTTCCAGAGTACTTACTTATTCATGATAACCTCAGTTCTTTTGCTGAAAAACTTCAGGCATCCCTCATCTATGATAGAGTGAAAAGCAGCCATTAAAAGTCAAATTGTAGAAGGATGATGCTTAATGGGGAAATGTTCACAATGTATAGTTAAGTAAAATGTATATTATGTTGGGTAGGATCCAAATTCTGTTAGAAATATAGGTAAAAATGACCAAAAAGATATGAGGCAGAGGGCTAACAGTGGTGAGATTTTAACTGAGTTTTATCTTTCTGTATTTTCCAGTTAACTAAAACAAATGTATCTTACTTTTGTCTTCAAAAAACAAACCCACAATAATAGCTTGATGACCTAGGATATGGAAATAAAAAAATTCACAATAAATTTTTATAAAGACAGAAAATGTTCATCAGTAGACTAATGGAGGAATAAGTTGTAGCACAGTCATACAGTGGAAAATTATTCAGCAGGGAGAAGGACTAGGCTGCACCATATAATATCAACATGGATTAATTTTGGCAATGTAAGGCTGAGTGATAAAAGGAGGATTAGAAGACTATACTTGAAAAGTTTTTGCAAAGTTCAAAAACAAGGAAAAGGCTCAGTGCTGTAGCACAGTGGTTACAGTGCCAGCCACATACACCAAGGGTGTAGGGTTCGAACCGGGCCCAGGCCAGCTAAACAACTATGACAACTACAACAAAAAATAGCCAGGTGTTGTGGCAGACACCTGTAGTCCCAGCTACTTTGGAGGCTGAGGCAAGAGAATCGCTTAAGCCTAAGAGTTTGAGGTTGCTATGAGCTGCGATGCCATGGCACTCTACTGAGGGTGACATAGATTCTGTCTCAAAAAACAAACAAACAAAAAACCAAAAAAAAAAAAAAATGCACAAGGAAAACTAGGCAAATGTGGGCGGCACCTGTGGCTCAGTGGGTAGGGCGCTGGCATACCATATATTGAGGGTGGTGGGTTCAAACCCAGCCCCGGCCAAATTGCAACAACAACAAAAAAAATAGCTGGGTGTTGTGGCAGGCACCTGTAGTCCCAGCTACTCAGGAGTTTGAAGCAAGAGAATCACCTAAGCCCAGGGGTTGGAGATTGCCTGTGATGCCACGACATTATACCGAGGGGTGATAAAGTGAGACTCTATCTCTAAAAAAAAGAAGAAGAAGAAGAAGAAATCTTCAGCTAAAGAAAAAAAAAAAAGGAAACTAGGCAAATGTTTAAGGACATTTCTCTATCTATATCTACATAGATATAGATGCAGAAAAAAATAGAGATCAGGATGGGGTTTGGGGAAAGTAAGAGCTTTTGATGGAGGACTCTCTGGAAGTGTTAGGTTAGGCAGTTAGAGTCGAGCTGGGAGGATGGTGATGTGACAGGCTGATTTGCACTGGCTTGGGTTAGCCTGACCTGGGCTATGGTGGGAATGGAGCTAATTGCTATCAAGAGTTTGCACAGGTGGGTTGTTTGGGAGGATAGATATGAATTATTATGGGAATGCAGCTGATTAAGACCATGGAAAAGTTCCAAAATGCAGCTGACGCCCCTCAAAAGTTGTGTATAGAACTAGTCCCTGCTCTTTCCTCAGGGCCTGCAGCCCCTAGGGTGGACCAGTTTGCCCTCCAAACCTGTAGAGTAAACTTTTCCTTTCTTGCTAAGACCTTACTTGCTCTTGTTCTCTTCATTTATTTAGGAGACTGCCTGGAACCGTCTTTGCGCCACCCTGACAGGAGTATCAGTAAGACCAGTAATGTTCTAACCCTGCCAAGGGCTCATGGCTATTAGTTTGCTTCCTAACTTACCTAGACCCACTGTACTTGTGCTTTTGTATGTGCAAATAATTATTATTAAAAAGTGGGGAATACATTGCTGGAGGGATTTCGACCTGCTGCTTCTGGCCGTTTGAGCCTTGCTTGGGAAGTGCCAACAACAGGGCTAGGTTGAGAGAGTGTGGAGACCAGGAACAGGGGGTGGGTGCCATGAGGACAGAGTCAGGCTGTCACACCAGGCCTGGGACTTGGGCTGAGCGCCTCCAGAGACTCCACTGAGCACCTGGGAGCCAGGTCACTGGGGCCATCACGGGAGGCCCCACGGTTTTTCAAGAGTAGCTAAGGTGTCCCCCCACCCGGGCTTTCCCTGTCCCTCATGCCCACTTCTCCTCAGGATCCTGGCACCTTTATTTAGCTTCCCTGTTGTGTTTCTAGGCCCTCCCAGTACAACCTTATTTCCAAAGAGACTGGTCTCTGCACATCCCCTGTTAATGTTCCTCCTTACCCAGGAATTTGCTCCTGGGGCTCCTCTGAAAGTCTTTCTTTCCCTTTTCTTTTTTCTTTTCTAACTCTTCTGGCCTGAATGCAGGCACTGATCTTTCTAACCTCCTATTTTGGAGTTTCAGCCTCTCATGCTTGGGCTCTTTCTCTCTACCTCTACCCTCTTGCTGAGGCCAAATTTCCCATCTTGAATATTCCAGTTTCTGCCAAGGGTTTCTCAAGTGCAAGTCCTTTCTTTCTTTAACCTATGCGGTGGTTGACCTGTTCCATTTGCTGCTTTGGGACTTCAATTGAAAGAATTAGAAGGAGAAAATCACCCCTGGGGAATCGATTGTACTTTAGTACAGAACCATTTTCATGCACCCTATCCACTTGCCTGCCCAAGGCAAAGGCTGTTCAGAGTTAGTACTGGGCCCACTTCTCAAGGTGATCTGCTTTCCTACTGGAGCTCAGAGGACTCGAAGGCTAGCCAGTTCTGCCTTTCATGACCTACATTGGAGCCTGGTCCCAGCTCAAAGCAATTTCCATAAACTGAACAACACAGCTTTTTTTTTTTCCTTTTGTGTAAAGACAGAGTCTCACTTTATCGCCCTTGGTAGAGTGCTGTGGCATCACACTGCTCACAGCACCCTCCAACTCCAGGGCTTAGGCAATTCTCTTGTCTCAGCCTCCTGAGTAGCTGGGACTAAGGGCGCCCATCACAACACACAGCTATTTTTTGTTGTTGTTGTTGCAGTTTGGACCCACCACCCTTGGTATATGGGGCCAATACCCTACCCACTGAGCCACAGGCGTTGCCCACAACACAGCTTTTTATTAAATGCAAAAAAAGGATGAGTCAAAAAACTTGTGCTGGTTATACCTTAAGATGATTGGGTACTCAATAAATTTGAGAATAGAAGAATGGGGTGGGCTTTTAAGAGAATTGTGATTATGTTTCTTTGACAAAATTAAAACTTGAGAATTCAGGGAACATTTTGTCTAACCTAGATAATAAAAGCAAAATCTTCATCTTTTTCTTGTTAAAATGGGAAGAAGACACTGGGTTAGATGAGAGTGAACCTGGGAGGATGCAGAGATCTGTGTTTGGAAGGCGGGAAATGAAGGAGGGTTGGGAATGTAGGTGGACCTGGCCCACATCATTTGGGTCATAAACACCTGTCTCCTAGGCTAACCTACAAGCCAATCTATTTGTCCCCTGTCCCTTTGTCCTCCCTAGCAACCTCCCTAGCAACCATTTATTGTCCTGTACTCCTCAATACCCCTGCCCCCTCTAAAAGACCTGCATAAAGATATCTGAACTCCTTTGGAAAACTGAGTTGTCTCTCTGTGTTTTCTCCCTTGTGGGCACAGTAAAAAAATCTTTTCTCTGACTAATCTGCTCAATCATGAGTTAATCTTTCAGCAAATTTTCAGGGGAAAGGGCAAATTTCTCCTTACTCTTAAGAGCTACAACCATTGTCAGTCACTTCTAGAGCTCCCGCTAGTGACTTTTCAGCCATTACACATCTCTCACAGCACAAAGCAATCCACCATGCTCCCAAGTGCCAAAGATACCGGGAAACTCAATGTAAGAGAAAGCAGAGCTTTTGACCTGAGAGAAGCCTGCCCACCCTCAATTCTTGAGACTCTGAGTAAAACAGAAGACCCCCCCCAAAAGGGGGTGTGTGCTCTTTTTCCTATTTTCCTCAGGGAGTCCCAGAGCCATAAGAAGTCTTCTCCAGATTCTTTTATCTGGTAGCAAAGATGGCAAAGAGTAAAAGTCAATGTGAGAGCGAGTCTTAGAGGAGCCAACTTGGACAGACTTTAAGCTTTCTAAAAGCCAAGGGACCTTCGGTAGAGGACCGTGGCATCACAGCTCACAGCAACCTCAAACTCTTGAGCTTAAGTGATTCTCTTGCCTCAGCCTCCCAAGTAGCTGGGACTACAGGCGCCCACCACAACGCCTGGCTATTTTTTGGTTGTAGTTGTCATGGTTGCTTAACAGGCCCAGACTGCGTTTGAACCTGACACCCTAGGTGTATGTGGCTGGCACCCTGCTGACTGAACTACGGGCACCGCCAGACTTTTACATTTTTCTCAGCAAAAATCATGCAACAAGATAGAAAGCAAACAAAGGGATTGAGCCTTTTTAAAAAGAAGTTTTAGTTGACTGAAGAAATTGCCAAAACACTGCATCCAAAAGGGAAAAAAGCAAAAAAGTCTTCTTCTTTTTTTCCTGGAAAAAATTATAGCCTTTAGTTAAGCTGACTTCTGACCCTAGACCTCTTAAAATCTTTTCAAATTTGTTATCAGATTTCAGCCAGGACAAACACTGAGTAGGTCTTCCCATTGACAAACACTGAGTAGGTCTTCCCATTCAATTTTTTTGGTTCTAAAATCAGCTTTTTGGCTAGGGTGGTGGCTCACCCCTATAATCTTAGCGCTCCGGGAGGCAGGGGTGGGAGGATTGCTTGAGCTTAGGAGTCTCAGCTAGTTAGCCAGGAGGGCTAGCTAATCCCCTACTTCCTTTTCAAAATTGGGGTATGTACAGGAGGAAAATCCAAGATAACAACAGGTCAAATTACAAAGAAAGCAACAGTTTAACCAAGTCCTTGTGTCTCTTACCACCTCCTCAACTCCCATGTCCTGCCCTGGCCCTTGGGAAAATAAATATTAACTTGCATAGAGAAAGTAAATATCTGCTTGGGCAAAAGTTTTCCCTTTCCCAACTGTAAGGTATTTTATTGACCCCTTTGAGCGACTACTGAGTTTTTACTCACTGAAAGACCTTGTTTTCTAAAAGCATAGACTATCAAAAACATGAGTGTTTAAAACGATATCAGTAAGAACAACTGTCTCACTCTTGCCTCCTAGGCACTTTGCCACAGAAACAGCCTTGATATGCAATCCAAGTATAGAGCTTTAGATAAGGGGATGCTGGGAACACTGCACATCTAACTTAGCTGGATTAGGAAAGAGGACCGTGGGTTCATTTTGCAGTCCAGACTAGAGGTTGACCCCTTTTCTCAGAGCCCTGCTTGTTTGTTCCAGGGACTCATGGGTTGCCTGGTGTGTACTCTTCACTAAGGCCAAAGGATAGAAGACCTGACTTGGACCTCAGTTTGTTCCTGGTGCCTCAGGCTGATCAGCCAAGGAGACTTTTTGCTTCAGTCACCTGTTTTGGGGTTTACTGTCCTTCTCTTGTACAGAATGCCAGCGGCCTGAGCCTATGTCACATTGGTGCAAGGACAAGAGTCAAGGCCTGCTGAGATGAGGCCAGGGAATGTGTAAAAATTGCACATTGGAACTCAGGGGCAGCCCGCCCCGCTGTCCTCTTGGGTGTGCTCCTCTGCCTCTAGAGGGCCCCAGACGACCTGCTTTGGAGTTTCTTCTAGCAATTTGTGAACCGTGGCTTCCAGCTTCGAGTTTCTGCTGTTTGCCTGGGCTGCTTAAAAGACTCTCCCTAACAACTGGCAGTAGGAAACAACACCCAGAAAAACACAGATCAGAATATAGATGTGTACACCTAGGGGTACTTTTTGAAAAATAAGACTTCTTAAAAATCCCCCTGGATCCATCTTTCTAATATTATCACCAGGCCAGTTAGGGAAACCCTGATTTACACAAGAGACCCACCTTCAGGAAAACATAAAATAAATGTGGTCAGTGTAACTGCCTCCTGCTTTAAGGGATGCAAGTCTTTTTATTTTTGTCAGAATAAGAATGAAAAGGAGTAAGCATTTTTTTTTCTTTTTTTGAGACAGAGTCTCAGTTGCATTGGGGTTGAGTGTTATGGTGTCATTGCTCATAGCAACCTCAAATTTGGGGGCTCAAGCAATCCTCTTGCCTCAGCCCCCCAAGTAGCTAGGCCTACAGGTGCCCACCACAATACCCAGATAATTTTTCTATTTGTAGAGACGGGGTCTTGCTTTGCTCAGGCTGGTTTTGAACTCCTGAGCTGAGGCAATTCACCTACCTTGGCCTCCCAGAGTACTGAGATTACAGGTGTGAGCCACCGTGTCTGGCCCAGGACTAAGCATTTTTATGTCCTGAGTGTTTAAGGGCCACAATTCCTGCAGTTTGCCTTCTATGCCAGTTGCCTGCTTCTGTTCCTTAGTACCTCCCTATCTCTCATTCCCTCCTTCTACCTAGATATATGTACAAAACAAACAACCTGAATATTCCAAACATCATTCACTAGTCTCATAAAAATGCTTGTATCTGTTAGTCCTGACATCAGTCATTGTACATCATTTGTCAGTAATGAGAACACATCCCCAGTATATGCCCAACCTCACCCTAAACCCTGGCTCATGGCCTGGCTAACCCAAGAAATTGAGAGCAAAGTAGTTTGTCTAATGGAAAGACTCTCCCCACCCTGGCTATAACCTTGGTCATACCATGTCCTCGATATGTTCCTTTACCCACTGGGCAGCTGCAGTGACACTTTCCGTCTTGGTGACATCCAGAGTCACCATCTCCAGCCTGTCTGATGTCTGAGCCCTCAGTTGCTCGGCCCCCTTCTCACCCCTGGGTGTAGGTGGAGGGTTAATTGTTACCATGTGTACTCCTGTGCTGGTATGGACACCTGTGTGGGCACAGAAGGACAGAGAGACATCAGTGGGGCAGGGAAGCATTGCTGAGTAGTGATATTTTCTATGGGGAAGGACTGGAGGTTTCCAGGGGGAGGGGGCCAGTGTGTGTAACAGCAGGACAAAGGGCAGGGAAATGGGGTGGAAAGTGAGGACTCCATGCCAGAGCGCCTGGAGGCTGGTCTCCCAACCCCCACCCTCTGTGTTCTTACGTCCTCCTATCTGAACTTTGGACACACTCTCCTTACACCCCAGCACCTCTGGGTGTGCCCACCCACAAGCCATGTGGCTAAACTTGGTGGACCTTGTGGGCCTGTATTACCTGCTGCGCTGGTACCAGGAGAAGCAGGTGTTGAGCCACCTCCGAGACAAGTATGTCTTCATCACGGGCTGTGACTCCGGCTTCGGGAACGTGGCCAGACAGCTGGACGTGAGAGGCTTGAGGGTGCTGGCTGGGTGTCTGACGGAGAAGGGTCTGATTAAAACTAGGATGCTAATACTGAGATTTACAAATAATTTTGTAGAAGACAAAATCCCCAAACAGAACCGTGAATATATGAACATATATAATAAGAATGATGTTTCAAATCACTTAGGAAAGAGGATTCTCACTAAATAGTATTAGGACAGTTGACCATCTATGCCAATGATCAATTCAAGGCCTCTAAGCTCCATATTCAGTCTTCAGAACCTGCTCTGTGATGATGCACTGGACTGTTTAAGCATTTTCTCCCTTACAGTGACTACAAGGCTAAAATAAGATTTGCTAGAAGAAGGTGACAGAGGGACATTATACAAAGAAGGGATCCATCTTTCAGATTTGTGTGTGTGTTCCTCATTGACCTCACAGTGACCCTTGTCCCAAACCCTGAGCCTGCCACCCTAGCATTCCAGCTCCCTCTGTGCACCTGTGAACCAGCTGCCTAGGTAACCTAGAGAACTTCACTGTTATCTAGGAGACTACAGCCACACCTTCTTCAGTCCTTGGGAGAGAGCCCTCCTTCCAAGTTTATCCTTCTTTGAAGGCTCTCTCTTAGACTTAGGATATCCTAGAGTTCTCTTAATGCACTTCTATTCACCCTCAAGACAGTTTAATGCCTCTTTTTATTAAATTCTATGAAACAATAGTATGTAGTTTCTATCTACTGATTAGATCCAGATTGGTACACCAACTAATAGAAAAGAAATTAAAAAATTCCTATATTACATCTGTTGCCTACATTTCAAATGGAGAGAGGTTTTTAAACTATAAGTGAAGTGATATATTACTCGAAGGTATACTATGATAAGCTAAAGAGGTACCAACTTGAAAACATCCACTAAAATAACAAAACAAAGAGGCATGGCTAATAAGACAACAAAAGAGATAAGAAGGAATCAGAAGAAGGAAAAGGAAACAAGGAAAAGATGGGCCAGGCCAGGCACGGTGGCTCACACCTGTAATTCCAACACTTTGGGAAGCTGAGGTGGGAGGATCACTTGAGACCAGGAGTTTGAGGCTGACCTAAGCAAGAGCAAGACCTCATCTCTACTCAAAATGCAAAAGTTAGCAGGGTATGATGGCATGTGTCTCTAAATTCAGCTACTTGGGAGGCTGAGGCAGAAGGATCACTTGAGCCCAGGAATTTGAAGTTGCAGTGAGTTACAATGATGCCACAGCACTCTAATTTGGGCAACAGAGTGAGACCCAGTTAAAAAAGAAAAAAGAGGCTTGGAGCCTGTGGCTCAAGTGGCTAAGGCGACAGTCACATACACCTAAGGTGGCAGGTTCGAATCCAGCCCGGGCCTACAAAAACGAGGGCTGCAAACAAACAAAAAAGAAAAAAGACAAGACGAATAGAAACAAATAGCAAGATGATAGATTTAAATTCAATCATGCCAATAATTACATTAAAAACTGGCTTATTGGCTCGGCGCCTGTGGCTCAAGTGGCTAGGGTGCCAACCACATACACCTAAAGTGGCGGGTTTGAAGCCCCAGCCCAGGCCCGCCAAACAACAATGATGGCTGCAACCAAAAAATGGCC